GCGCGAACCTCGAGGTATTCCCCCACGGTATGAGTCATCGGGCGCAGTTTCACACAGTTTCGGGCAAAGGAACCTGCGATCAGTGTGTGCTGCTTTCGAGTTCTTCGTAACAAGAATCTCGTGTACCTTTTTCAGTCGGATTAGGTACACCAGCTTCGAAAAAGAGAGGTTATAAACGCTACGAGAACCGTCGTTGACTTTTTTCTTGTTTCGCGTGAAGAAACGAACCAGGTACATAATCTCCTTGCGCCTGAACAACGTAAACATGAAACTCGACGTGTCGGAAGCACTTTACGACAGCTCGAGCGTGTCCAGCGATAGCGGGACGTCACAAAGCTCTCGCGTCAGCCATGATTTTCTCTCCAGCATCGCGAATTCATCCATGCTACCTAGTAACGTGAGTATCCATTATCCATGCTGTTCTATACCTAAGCACATGTAAACAAGCCATGTCGCGTAAGTTTCTCTGTTTAAATATGGCTACTTATGCAACCGCAATTATGCATATGTATAGGTTACGTGGTTTGATAAGCAGCGTTCACGTGATTGGTTGAGTACAATCCGCGAATTTCTGCCAGATATTCGAGCATTGCCGTGAATATAAAGTCTACTAAATGTCGTTACGTAACCAAGTTTCCCAGAATGATTAAGCATTATTCGAAATGATAGGTTTCATTAACGATAGGCTTCTGGGTGTTACCAAGAAGTGGCTTTAGCGTTTCTACAAAAAATCGTGTCAAAGTTTGATGTCTGTAAAACGATTACCAAGAATGTTACCAATTTATAAACCTTGACAGATTTCTGATTTTATTGGAGGAAATCTTTCTGACACTAAATCTGGGGAATTAGCATTTTGTTAATATGTATGTATTTAATATCTACCTGTAACCAGGGCCGGCCCTGGGCTTAGGTAGACTAGGCGGCCGTCTAGGGCCCTCCAAGGTCCAGGGCCCCCATAAGACGATTTTGCGTCTAAGAATGCAAGAAGAGTAATGTTTAAATGTACATATATGTGAAGGGGCCCTTTTTCGGAGCTCGCCTCGGACCCCCGAAATGTCAGGGCCCTATCTGTAACATATTTTTTATCTACAATTTAAAAAAGTCGTTAATTTTAAACAATACACTTAACAATCGTCTAGACAACGAAGATGTAATCGTTCCGTCACTCGAAGATGGTACACACACCGAAATCTAAATTTATAAGTCGCGTGGCGTCATCGCTATAAACTGTTCAAAGTAAAAACATGATTTTCGGTTTTCACAATTCTCAGCGAATCGTGAACACATGGTTCAGATAACAATTGTCATCTAAATAAAAAAAAAAATTATTCTTGCGCCATGATAATGTTAATTCGGATTGAAGCTAAGTAAAATGTACACGCTTGGATAAACAACTTTCATTCTCGTCCCCGACTATAACGTAGCTATCCGTTTAAGGCGCACGGTACTTACATTAGGACAACCAATCAACTTCCGAGTTACTATAGAATTAGCCAATGAAATGCTATCTTACGTATCAACGTCCATTCACTGATCTCTACAGATCAATGATCCTCGTTGCAACATAGCAATCTAACAATTATTTTAATCTACTTATTTAGTAATTAGAAAAATATCTTTTTCTCGATAAACATTTCGATGAAACATAAAATTATAAATTTTAAATGCACTTGGTGAAACAGGTTCCCAACGATGCGGTATATGCTTTGACGTTGAATACATTTATAGAAGCGAACGATTATGCTAATTTTCATTTTCTTTTACTTGCGTCATTTCTAACCAGTGTATAGTCCCGTATAACTTAGGTTTTTCTTAGGTGAGGTGAAGTGTAGGGGACTAGGAATTTTAATCCTGAATTCCCCGAAAACCGAAAGGCTATAGTAAGCTATAGAAATTCGTTATGGATCCATAAATCTTCAGCGAATGAGTTAAAATTCACATTAGATAAAATATTTCAACACGAACGGAACAAAGGCATATAACATTCTTACACATTCGTGCATGGTTTGTGCTGTTGACAACAGCGTTGGAGGGTTTAACGCGCACCCTCGTCGACCGGTAACCCTTACAACACCCTACGTATAAATTCTCTGGCAGACGATGGTATTGATCTAGCTGCATTTCGACTGACATGGCTTCTGCTGTCCCCAACAGCTGTTTTATAAAGAACCCTTACACGGTCGCCGGGTGATAGCCTCGGCCATTTAAAAACACGCGCCTTGCCACATTGACACGCGCACTCGTCGCACGTGTGCGCGCCAACATATACATACACATCTACGACGCAACAATCACACGCGTCTGTCTCGTGTGCGCAGAACCATAGATCGTAGTACTGCGCAGCATTAATGTTGCGAGTAGATAGCCGGCCAAGCCAGCTGTTGTCACCTAATTATCTCCGTCGCCATTAACGGTAGGGTTCAGACAAAGAAATCGACCGATAAAATGTAAATAGTACTAACGACGAAGAAGAAACGTGACGGCAGAATCGCGAATACTTTACGGCTCGTGGCGGCACAAAAAATATATTTACGATCAGAGCCACGGGGAAAAACAGGGACCTGGTTTAGTAGTCAGGATTGCCACCTCTCAAAAAATTCCCCTTGAAAGTTTTTCGACAATTTAAATATAATGGAGCTTCGAATCGCTTCGAATTTGATTAGTGATCTAAACTTTCAAGACCATGAGATTCCCGGGGCATTTAGGACGTCATAGTCTGCCTTGCCAATAAGAGTTGGATTCATAGAATTTTGCGATAGGCTTTGAATTCTGATTTTGCTATTTATCCTCTTTACCGTTGTTTTACTGTAATTCGTGGTCAAGGACGACTAGATTGAGTGAAACTAGCGTATCTATAGGTGGCAGCCATTTTCGGATATATTGGGCTTAGGGAGAAAGTATCTGTTGATGGCCTAGATATCGAATACTGCCTTTTGCCTCCGAACGATGCAAATCTCGCGTGATTTTACGTGGTTTCTTTTTTTAAAGGATATCTTCGTTAAATATGACTTATTTATAACTGTCCTTCTCAGACAACGAAATAACAAAGAAGTACGTATACAGAGAAGTTGTACTTTGCCTCCTGAGGGTTTCCAAGTTTTCTTAGAAATTTCCAGTAAGCGTTCGATCGACAACAAAGTCACGAAGGTATAATCTTGTTCCCTCCTCCATTGTATCTTCCTTTATTGTCCGTGGATAATGCCCGGTTCGTGTTTTATCCGTGGCGAGAGTAAAAGCACACGCTACACAGATCCTTTGACACGCATACGGAGAAGACCGACTGATTCACGGCGTCGCATCCGATTACTTATTCCCTCTTTGTTCCTCTGAATATTCAAAAATATCCGCTCACAGTTTTCCGTGCTGGAGAAAAGGCTGTTCCATTCAAGGCTTCCGCTTTTCCCTTGTCCACGATTTTCGGCAACCATTGTTATGCCGCGCAACGCGTCGGCCCTCGCGGCTTTTTTGGTTTACCCATAAACATTCGATTGACCCCCGGTGCTCATTAAAATGTCTCTTTGTTTTACAACAAGACAAAGCTGGCCGGATCCTTTTGGGGTCGTTCAATCTTTGATTTTCTACTCCTTTGTGTGCCTGACGACATGTCGGCATCGTTAACCTCTTCGAGTCCTCAATTTTTCTTCCTACGTGACCGAGGTACCTCCTGTGACCCACGTTGAATTTCCCATTCACCAGTCGTTTAATACTTTATTCGTCATAAAGTGTTTCAGAGCTGCGCTTTCGAATGGCATCGATTGGTCGGAAATTGGGTGAAGTCGTATGAAAAATAATTAGAGTGAATCTTAATTTTGATCATTTACACGTTCTTGAGATATTATTTGTTAATTATCCACTTAATAAAAAGTCAGAATCAACATACATTTGAGGTATGTAGATATATTCGTGATCAAATCAGGCTTCCCTTGGAAAAATGATGTCTCGGGTTCCCATCTTTTCCCGTGCGCATTTCCGGAGAGAATAACATTGTACGGTAAAAGACCCCATATAATATACACATATACGGTGTAGGCGTCTGGCCAATCACGTGTGCGTAAACGTTTACGTGAGAAATATGAATTGAAATTGATGTATTATTCAAACTTCTCAGTTATATACTAAATTTTATAATATCTAATAACTGAAATATCATATTCTTTTGCTTTTAAATCATTTTTAATATTAATATGGTAAAAATTATAATTTTTAGAATTCTTGCTTATCGAAAAGCCTGATTTGATCACTAATATACCATCAGCGGTACGTGCAAATTAAAATCTCAAGAATTTCTTATACCTGTGTTTCTAAAAGGTTTCCAATTGTTCGTGTAACAGTAATTGACTAGTATCCTGTAATTAGCGAGGACATTTTTAGACCGCGCACAACCTCCGAACCGCAATTAAAAAGCAATCCACTCGGAGTAAGCGTTCCTACCTGAGATAATTAGAGCGAATTCCGATGAGAAATTATCTTTCAGAAGGATAGCTTATGTTTTGTAAAAAAAAAAAATGTTTTTCTCAATATAGAAATTCGAAACAGTTTAAGGTGTTGAAACGTTTTATGATAGACAATCTTAGACCTTCCGTATGAATCATTCTCTGTTGATATTTCGCATTTCTTTCTCTGTCAGTAGACTTTTCTACCAAAACAACATCATAAATCTGTCAGGATCAGTATTTTTCTCGGAGCTGAGGAAGGGACCGATATTGTATTTTCTCGCCCTGTGCACGCTGAAGGGCTGCTTCCGTTCAACTTCATAGCGGTATTGTTTCCCGAGTGTGCAAAACAAGGTCGTAAATCATTATCCCTTCGGTCTCGGTATTCATACCTGTGCTACCGCCAATGCTAACAACATGGCGATTAAAGGCAGGCTTATACTTGCAACGAAGATAAACACCCTCAACTTTTTGCAAGATATTAAAAAAAAAAAAAAAAAAAAAAAAAGATAGAATAACAATGCCATATTTTGCAAAATTCCCGAATTTATTCTATTTGTAATTGTATATGTAATTGTAATGTGTTGAGACTTCGCTTTTAATACACTTCTCATATGCTCCATATAGTCTCAAGCACAATGGATTTCTCTTTCTTGGTTATTTTTTTTTTTTATAATTCTTGGACAAAGTGCGTTCACACGTACGTTGCACCGGACTGGCAGAGTTCGTCGAGTTCGTTGCACGTGTGTCCGCGCATATACATCGAAACAAGAACAAAGAGACGAGCACGGTGCGTGCATACATCAGGGAATTCCCCGTACCGAAATAAGTGAGAAACGCATTTGTTGCTCTCGCGACGATAGCCTCTCAGCGTCACAATAATTTTTTTCTATTTTTCGCTGTTCCACACATCTGGCCGCGAATCTAACGCGCAATAAACCACGTGCAGGCTTGGCTCGTTATCGTACAGCCTATTATTTAAGTAACTATAAAAATGATACTTTATTCGCTTAAGATACACGCTTCGAATAATCTTTTATTTATCGCCGAGTTGAAATAACCAACTCGAAACACCTGTGTGCTTTGAAATAATTACCGAAGTCAGATAATCTTTTATTACACTCGAAATTATTTTTGTTCATCTAACGTCCATTTAACAAAGGAGTAGGCATAAAATTTCTCGATGTATTTCCTAATACCGTTACGGTACAGTACCCGAAAGTAAGGAAAGTATATATAGCCGTGTGTTACATAAACAATACACAAAAAGTTCAAATGTTACGATAAAACCGTAATTATACATATATCGAATGATTTTTATCCATCGCAGTGTTTAAACATTCAAATAACCTCATCGGTCGCGCCATTAGCAAACTTAAACGACAGTGTGTTGTAAGTTGGAGTTCTTTAGACGTATTCTCTAAATTTAATCGCTGGTGGAACGATGAACAGAAGTTTGCATTAACATATGTCCCGTTAAACGATTAAGATTAGCTATTCGTTTGGCAAATTATGCAAAGTTAACGATCAGTATACCTAGAAAAGGGGATCTAGTTCTTGGTGGCGCGTTAGCCGATTCCGTGGAAGTCGAGATACAAACAGTATTTCGGTACGTAAGGGACACGTTGATTGGCCGCGAGCTATCGCGCGAATCAGCAATCAAGATGGCGATGACGTCACGTAGTGGTCGCTCGACGCTGATTGGTGGGGGGTCGAGCGGCTGTCTTTCTATATAGTTTCCCAGTTACATTGGCGGGCTCAGTTGGGATACGTAAGCACACGCGACACTTGAACAGTCACGTTGTTACTTCGTTGTTGCATGGTTGAACTTGTACGTGACAGTGACGGGGAAAAAGCAGACTCTATCAATTTATACGTGTCTATGCCGTTTGATCGAACGTGGTTGTAGTATACTCGGTAAGAAACGTGACATCGGTGAACGAGAAAAGGGTATCGTGCCGTTTCGTTTCGTCGCGAGTGTTCTTGGCTCGCGTTCAAAGTAAACTGTCGAGTTAAAACTCTTCCGCGAAGGAGCAACTAGATATTTCTTCTTTCCTTTTATTTGTCTTGTGGTGAAGTTTTGAAAGCAAAACCGCTCACAGATGACGCAACGTGTGCCTAGCGCAGGCTTTTACGACACTATCGTCGAAGATCACAATTACACGATGTTTTCGATGTATCCACCGACATCAAACTTTTCTGACCCCTGGCAGCTGACGAAAGAGGAAAAGGCTATGGTAAGAGAAAACACTTTCGATAACTATTAATATATCGTAAAATGGTAGCACAAATATATTTTGTTGGTTCGATATAAACGAACATCGATTGTGTGCACATCCAGGTGTCACGGTCGAAAGTCGATCGATATCATCCGAAGTGGTAACGATCGCCGTGAACTTAGTCGCAGTTTGTACGACCATTTATCTTACTCCTCGTGGCCGGAACAAAATTATTGCAATTTTTATTTTCACTGATAGGTTCTTTGACGCATTTCCAATTACGTTTTTAGCCATTTTTAGGTACTGGAATTTTCGTATACGTGAGATAGGATTAAAACGTTAAATAAAAAATTGAAGCATGAAAGTAGAAAGTGTTGCACAGTGATAGCGGGTAATTGAGTCGGTAATTGAGGTCGTACTCGTCGATGACGTCTTCGCTCGAATTTCTAAGAACCGCGTTATCGCTTTGAATCCTCGATTCTTCTACCTGTATTATTTTTCTCGTTTACTTTTCCATTTCTTCTAGAACATATCAATATTCTTACAATTGTATTTTTCTTATTTTCTTTTTTCCTTCAAACTTCCAATTATATTGTATAGATTGTCAATGGACTTAAGTTACTAGGGAATAAGAAACCTAGAGGAAAATTTTCCACCTACAATTACGGAAGACATGGATATTAACTTCTTTAATGCCATTTTCTGACCGTACTTTTATCTTAATAAGATTATCTTGGAAGGAATAGATAAGGATCTTAAAATTCTCTATTTATGGCGTGTAATTACATAAGCGGTTTCTAAGGTATTTTACATCATCCGACGGTTAATGTTGTCATTAAGACCTTCATGATCTTTTGCGAACGTCTTCCCTCGACACTCGGTCGAAAATGACTTCTATGAAATCCTACAAAAAATCCTGACCTTTGTCATTCTAAAAACAAAACAAGTCTTTTGGAACAAACGTTCATAGGATCTTTTTTTATTCTTAAGGTGAACAGAATTCGTAGTAAATAAACGGTTCCATAATAATATGTTAGCCATTTGGAAGAGAAAGTATTTGACTAAAGATGGTATTATTTGATGCTATCTGTAACTAACGTTATCATTAACTGATAAAAGACAAAGCTTGCTTATCTTTCACACAAAAGAATAGAAAAACAACAATAATATAATTGATATACTAAAATTAAAAAAAAAAAAAAAAAAAAAATAGTCTGATAGCATTAGTTTGACTTAAGTTAGTGATACAGTGTCTTAATTAAAATCATGTTTTTAAAAAAAAGTGATCTGGTAGTTTTTATTCTGTTCACCAATGTCAGTCATTGAACCTGAGTGTATTGTCCTGGGTGGAGGAAAAGCATTCTCTGGCGAATTTAAGAATGCTTTGTGTGCACGACACCGAAGGAAAACAGTTAAATCTGACAGGAAGCCCGGAGTTAACGCTCGTTAACCCACCAATTAGAGGGTTTAGTTGAACGAAGGCCTGGGTTAAGTTTAGTGGTAGCAATATGAACGCGGGTCATAAGGCAAGAGGTGTCATCCTGCTGCCTCTTGGCCTCGCGACAAACATAATCGTTTCTTTTTTTCCCTTCTCTACATTCTAACCGCGAAATTCATATCTACAATATTATTATTATTTTTTTAAATAGAACAATGAAAAAATTAATTTATCAAAAGTTAATACGCCTATTAGTCTCTGATCATATCATTTCCCGCCAGTTTGTCGACTCTAACAAGATAATTAGATATCTGCAATTCCTTATCTGTCCAAGTCATTTCCGGCTTCCGTAAACAGTTTCCACGAAGCTGAAAGTGTTACTGCGACGACGAGCAATATCCGTCAGGCAATTTGCATAAGTTTTTATTTTCGCCAAGCTTAGCTCAGTTTGAAGCGGTGCGCGGCGTGGCGCGGCACGGCACGGCACGCCGCTCGAATGACTCATCCGTAGCACTCTCGTAGTTTTGCCAGCGATTTATGAATGAAAATCCACGCACGTGTCGCGTGCGCGCAGGTTGTACCGCGACACGCAACATTGCCACGCCGTTATTATTCGCGCGACGCCTCGTAAACACGTCGATTACGCGTTCGCCCTGTGAGACATCGGTACCTGGAAAAACAACCAGCCTGACATCGGTGAGACGGTTTAATTGTGTGAAACTAGTTTCTCGATTTCTTTTTCCACATCTAGATACCAGGAAACGCTGGACAGACTGATTTGAGTACCAAGAATCCGAAGATCCGGTATCTTCTGGTTTATATTAATTATAGTAAGCTGAACAATGCTCGACATTCTGTGTGATTAAGAATTTTTCATTTCTCAATTTTTCTAGTGAAGAGATTGTATGCAAATTAATTTAGTATGATTTAAATTATTACTTTACTTTGGGGCACACAAAATTGCCCCAAGAGTATAATACAAGAGTATAATTGCTGTTATTTAGAATCTGAATTGTTCTTGTAGACATATTTTAATAAATTTTGCGTAAGATTCTTTTTTTCATGCGGTCAGCATAGCAAGTCGGTAATCCGGTGTAGTCGACCTCGAAAGGAGGTCGATTCCACGGAAAGATATCTTGCGTACGAGTGACGTCAATACGTTAACACTTTCCCCTGGAGAGTGTCTTTTATATGCGATGCGTGGATCTCTTCTACGACTTCGGTTAACCTTTGGGGGTTTCCCCCCCTGCAATATCTCACAATTTAAACTTTTCTTTATTTTTTGATAAATATTCATTTTCGTTTGGAACTAACCGCACATTACCATTTTCTGGCCGTGGCATTTAAACGCTTCATTATCCAATATCTAAGATTAGTAATGTTATTTAAAACAATATTCTATTGTTTTTTCGACGGTAACCTCCGTGTAACAATATTATCGCAAGGAGGATCTAAGATTTATCTTTCAGACTATAATGTTTCCATATCACTCTGCGCCGAGCTCTACTAAAATATTTAACATTCCTCTGGAGGGTTCAAAGAATAGCCATCGCGTGAAAGGAAAATGTTTCTGAAAACATTGTACGTGGTTGATCCTCTGACCGTTTCAAATTGATTTCCGGCAGAGTGGTACCAATAGGGAGAGAGACGTGGCCTTTCATTGGTCGTGAGCCTCGAGAAGGAGAATCAGTCTGGAAGAGAACGATGCGTCTACTAAGCTTCACGATGATGGTTATAAATTCAAAGAAGATCCTTTCTCGTCCTTATTCCACTCTGATGGTATGATAAAGTGCTCCACCTATTCAAGGGTGTGATGCGTTGTCCCTTTAATAAAAGCCGGTGTATATTCATCGTTGAAGAGGTCGTGGAACCCTTGAGGTTCATTCCAGACCCACGTGGGACGAAAGCGTGTATCCAATTTCGTGAAAGCATACTATGCATCGCTATATGGGGCCCCACCAAACGGGGACACAAAAGGGACGTGGGTGCCTTTTTAACGCGTCACCGTATCAAGCGGTTCATTATGCTCTAATGTATTCGAAATTAGGCTAGCTGAAGCGAACACACGGAATGGTACTTTGATAATCTTTGGTCAAAAAAGAAACGAGGATTGATGGTGATTAATTCTATTAAAGGGGATGGTAATTCGATGTTCTTCTTTTTTATATATTGTAGTACAAATTGCTGTGATTAGGTAGTGATAGGAGTAGAAAATCATAGGTGTTATTTGACTCTTTTCTTTTTCAAAAAAATCATCCTTGAATTTCAGAGGTATTAATCATATTAGAGATCTTTTAGGGGTTAACACTATATTGCCGGACAAATAGATCCGTCGAAATAGGTATAGCACATATGGATTTTTGGAACTAAGGAATTAGCATATGTTTCAAAAAAAAATTATTTAAGTTTTTCTATATACGTACATATAGAGTAATAAAATCGTAAATGAGTCAAATTGACTCGCTCCGTCAATCTGGTGTTAGAAAATGTACATTCGTGATCAAATAAAATTATCCCGGGAAAATAGCGATCCTTCCTCGTCTGCATTTCCGGGGAAAATGACAGTGTAGGGAAAGCACCCCCATATACCCATACGTGGTAGCGGCGTCTGCCGTTCGCGCGGGAATTTGGAATTGAAATTCATATATTATTCAAACTTTACAGTTTCTAAATTATTTTTAATATAAATATCGTCAAAATTAATATTCCTGCTGTCTTTACGTATATCGCCACTTTCCCTAGGGAAGCCTGATTTGATCGCGAGTGTACGCGAGGGTCCCCATACGTGGTCGCATTTATAAACGCGATTATGTTGGTATTCTCATATGGGGAGGGAGTAAGCTGCCGAAGTGCAACCAGTCGGAAATGCCTTAGTGATTGCGTCACTGGTCAGGAATTTACGGACCGTTTCTGCCCTCCAAGCGTTTTCTTTTACGCCCGTGTGTTCCTTTTTTCTCCCATTCCATCCTTCGTCCTTAACGTGTCCCAGGCATACTCATCTTCGTTTCACACTCATTTTTCCATTTCGCCTGGCAAACCTTCAAAATTACTCGCTCGAATACCTTCGTATTTTTGTATCATAAATCCGATTTAACAACTCGTGTGTTTCTCAACGGTTCTCTTATTGCTCAACGGTAATAACTATTCGAAGTACTATCGTTATAAAAAGCTGGCCCAAAATCGGTGCGTCGAAGGACACCGTGCTCTCCTTGCGGGAATCCTTGATACGGTTGCTCAATTTCACGCAATTTCAGCCAATATCTTCGTAACAAAGGATTACTCACTGAAATTTCGCCAAATCAGTGTATTTGTAATGAAATTTCCTAAGAGTCACTTTGTCGATTTCAAAAATTCACATAAAAATGTAAATTCCAAGTTCATTACCTAGCCTTGGAATTATCGAGCAGTCCATTCGCGTGATCGCCCACCATTTTTCTGCTAAATCATTCGAAATGTTACAATTTAATTCAATTACCATACTACAGTCCTGAAACCTGTCTTTAAACGGTGAATCGAAGGCGGCTGGAAAATATTCTTAAAAACGTAAACGGTGATCGATTTCCAATTACTCGATGACGAA